GATGGGGAGGACTGGGCTGGCTCTGAGGGCTTCTGTGGGTGGAAGCTCTCCTGCAGCCCCCCAATTGCCCCCTCTCCCCAGATGGCAGCCTGCGGCTGATGGCCGAGTGGTGTGATGTGCCCAGTGTGGGTACTCCGGGCACTCCCAGCCAGGACTGCTTTGCAAGCGGGGCACCCCTGAGAACTGTCTGTCCGGGGTGGGGGTCGGGACCCTTTAAGCACAGCCCTCGGCTAGCCTGAGACAGCATCTCCACGCTCTAAGTCCTCCTCTGATGCCCTGCCGGCACTGCTTCCGGCCATCCTTAAGCCCGGTTCAGGGTCCACTTAATGTGGACATGCTAGTTCGAATTAGCAAAATGCTAATTCGAACTAGTTTTTAGTTCTAGACGCGTTAGTTCGAATTAGCTTAGTTCGAATGAACTAATTCGAACTAAGTTAGTTCGAATTAGCGCTGTAGTGTAGACGTACCCTCAAGTGCAGTAAGCAGTGGAAGTGTTGGTAATGCTGCTAGACAATATTGACCTCCTGTGGTCTGGAAAATTCTCTTTCGGAACCAGAGGGTGCTGGACTAGAGAGGTTCAACCTGTACAGCAACATAATTCTGTAGTGTAGACTTGCCCACACATGCCCCTATGTAGTTTGCAGCCAGGAATTTCCTTGTTTTTCATCTCTCTAATCTCGTGTCATCAAAAAGGTGCGACAGTGAAGAGCACATTTGGTCTTGGTAGTTTGAACAAGGATACATCTGTTGCAGGTATTCAGATTCTAGGCTTAGCTGAAGGCTCTGGTTTCAGTCCAACTTTTCAAGATGTCGTACCAGAAACAGGCTGAATTTCTATCAAGATTGACAGTGCCTGAACATGCAGTGTAGTTGTAGCCATGTCAGTGCCGGGATATTCCAGAAACAAGATTACGTAGTTCTTCAGGACTGGGAAAGGTATTCCAAGAGTCCCAGCTAAATATAAGGTGGAACAGATTGTGCTACTTACACTAAACATAGGACAAAAGGGGGTTAATGGGTAGATCAGGGCTACTCAACTTTGGATGCCCTGGGGGCCACAATGATACTCACAGCACATGCCTAGGGTCACAACTAGAAATGTAGCCGTGTTAGTCTGGTGTAGCTGAAACAAAAAACAGGACTATGTAGCACTTTAAAGAGTAACAAGCTTTCATGGGCCAGACCCACTTCCTCAGATCAAATAGTGGAAGAAAATTGTCACAACCATATATACCAAAGGATACAATTTAAAAAATGAACACATATGAAAAGGACAAATCAAATTTCAGAACAGAAGGGGGATTGGGGAGGGAGAGGTAAATGTCTGTGAGCTAATGATATTAGAGGTGATAATTGGGGAAGCTATCATTGTAATGGGTAAGATAATTAGCGTCTTTATTCAAACTTGAGAGTAAAGTGTCGAATTTAAGCATGAATGACAATTCAGAGGATTCTCTTTCAAGTGAAGTCTTAAAAGGCCTTTGAAGCAGGATGCAGGTAATCATGTCATTGAGACAATGTCCTTTCTGGTTGAAATGGCAAGAAACTGTTTTTTCTTTGTGATCCTGTCTGATATCTGTTTTGTGGGCATTGATCCATTGGCAAAGTGTCTGAGACATTTGTCCAATGTACATAGCAGACGGACACTTTCGGCACATGATTGCATAAATTATATTTCTGGATGCGCAGGAATATGTGTTCTTGATCTTGTAACTCACTTGGTTAGAGTTATAAGATCAAGTGAATTAAATGGGGCCTGTGTGTTGTGTAGTCTTGCCTTCATCTTTATATTCATACCCAACAGTGCGAAAGAAGCTATTTGCAAATATTTTCAGATACATTTGCGTGTATATTCAACCACACTTTAGTTGTATCCCTCAGTATGTGCTGTGAGTATCATTGTGGCCCCCAGGGCTTCCAAAGTTGAGTAGCTGTGGTTTAGAGCTTCGCAACAGTAGCAGAGACTCTGTCTCTTGCACTCCAGTTATTCAGAAATTGGTGGTTAGTAGCATAGCTGATAATCATGTCACTGCATTGTGCAATATCTGCGGCAAGCAATGAGGATGTTCCTAGTGGAAGAGGACTCCGAAGGGAAGAGTAGCTTACCAACGACACCCAAGTACAAGAGACATATACTCACTTTCTCCAACAGTGAGGAGGTTCTAAAATGCGTGGATGGGGAAAGCCGCCGCCTTGCTTCTAGCAGCTGAAGGTTTAGGCAGAGGCCTTCAGACCTATGAAATACCTATTAGGTAAAAGTTAATACAAAAGATGGAGCCCCTAAGCATGGTGCAGGGACAGCACTTGTAAGAAACCCCAGCCTTTTGCCAGTTCCAAAAGCTGGAGTTAGTTGTCCGTGTTTCTCAGCTGGCATTATCCAAGGAAGTTGTTGATGGCAGCACCATCTCAATCATCTTTGTATCTCTCTTGCTGGTCGGTTTCCTTCTATGGCCAGCAGGTGTCTGAGTATTTCAAGCCCATCTAACCGCAGTGTGCTGTGGAAACTGAATCACTTGGTAAATATGGAGATCTGGTTTTATCTGTAAGCAAAACAAATCTGGGACCTCACATACAGGGTGCGTATAGAGCCATTTTTTACAGGAAATCTGCTTCAGTTTGGATTTGATTGGGGTTGATAAAATAATAGCACAATGTTAACAAGTACTACATGTTCAGTATTCATAAACCAAATATTTCTCTCCTTACTTTCCAGGGCAGGAAAACCTCCCCCTGGCTTACATCTGGATGTAGTCAAAGGAGACAAACTAATTGAGGTATGAAAAGAGATGTAGTAAGCTTAGATGCATGCAGAAGAAGATGGGATTTAACCCATCCATTGATGGGGAACTGAATTCCTTTGCTTTGTGTCCCTCACTTTGCACCCAAAGTGGCCCTTCCCTCTTGGGGTGCACCCCAAAGTGACCCTTTGTTCCCTTGACACATCCCTTTTTATTAAGTGATCCAGGTCCAACCTTTCACTACAGCCAGCCAGGCTTAATGTTTGTAACTCAAGTTGATGAAGTACAAAGCTCACATTGTGTCCGTGCACTGGGCTCCAATCAGGAGCCGGGCTGTGCATGTCTCAGTTGGATGATTTTACAGTGATCGGGTTTAGGAATATAGAACTAGAAGGCATTTTCCTGGTCAGCAAATCTAGTCCCTCGCCCGGAGGCAGCTGTTCATTTATTCATGTTAATAAATGTCACATACTCCATCTTCGAGCCGGTTAGGTGCTTTGCCCCCACTACCCTTATTGAAAGGCTGTCCCAGAACCTGACATCTTTGATCATTAGACACCTTCTGATTTCCAGCCTAAGTGTATTCATAGTGAGTTCATCTCTGTTTGCAGGGCCATCCCTAGGCATGTGCCGGCCCCAGGACAACCACCGCAGCTGCCTGAGACTCTTCCCCTTACTCTGCCTCCGCTCCGTTCCTTCCCTGCTCATCCCCACTCCACCTCTTTCTCCTAAACCCCCTTCCCCAAGTGATGCAGCCTAGGGGATTAGTAGGGAGCCTGGTGCCAGCAGCAGGGGTCTGGCCAGCCCCTGCATTTGTTGGTGGCAGTGGGAAGCAGAGCAACCTGGCCCCAGTCCCCTAAAGCCCCCTGTAAAGAGCTCCTTCCTTCATGTGAGCGCCCCTCGGTGTCCGAGGGGAATCTTTAGTCTCTACCTGATTGTTTGCTGGAGAGGAAGGGACCAGGCTTCTTCTTACCCCCTGTTGTGGCTGCTGGAGGGGTAGGGGGGACCCAGGCCTGCCTACTCCTCTGGGTCCTAGACCGGGGACACTATAAGTAGCAATTACCTGCTGAGTCTCAAAGAGGTTGGTTGCTGTCACATTCCCTGGGCCACATTGCCTGGGAAGCTGTTCTGTCCAGCCCTTGTTCTTGGGCCTTGTGGACAAGTCCTCCCTGTCCAGGGTTCTGTAAAGTGGTGTTGACTTACCAATTAGTCTTCAGCCACTGGACCTGGTTCTGACCAGGTCTGAAATCCAGCTCCCCCTCAGAGCTGTCCTGAGTGCTGCTGTTCTCCCAGTCAGCCCTTAGGTCTGCCTGGGTTGAGCTCCAGGAAGGAACTGCCAGGCCCTGGCCCAGCAGCAGCTTTTAGATCTGCCTGCTGCACCCTGGTTGGCTGCAACAGAGGCTGCCACTCTGTTCTGCTTGGAGGACCTGTCTCTTGCTCCTGTTGCTGGGCAGCGTGTGGCAAGACCTCCAGCAGGGATATTGGGGCCTACTCCACCCCATCACACCCCCCAACTCCCAGCTGCATCGCTCCCCTTCCTGCCACCTCCAGTTACTGTGGGGGAGGGCCCAATCTTTTCCCTAAGCTCCCTTCCTGAGCAACGTGCCTGGGAATTGGCAGAGCAGGCTTGGGCCAGGTCACTCCACTTCGCCTTGCTACTGGGAGTGGGCCTGACCCCTGCTGACAGCGCTGGGCCCCACTGGGCCTCCCAAAGTGTGGGGCTTGAGGGAGTCCCCCAAACCATCCTTGGGGTAAGACAGTTCTGACCTTCTGGGCCAAAATTGTCCTTTAGTTTTAAGAGTTCATATCCATCTCTTCTGTTTATCGCTTCCCTCCAACATAGTTCTAGAGAGCAGCCGTATTCCTTCTAAGCCCTCCTTTTGCTGGGCTTGTTTGTCCCCCTCATAAAACTCCTTTCCTCTCCTCACCCTACTAGCACTTTTCTGCATCTGAGTTTGAATTTATCTTTTGGGACAGTGGGCAAATCCCCAACAAAACCTATTCATCAACAATTTAAAAAATAAATCCAATTATTTCCAAAACTGTTACTGTATTAAAATAAGTTTTTGTGTGTCCCCAAAAGTACATGTGCTATTGAAGGCTTTAGTGTAGCTGGTCTCGCATTCTGACTAGCAGTCTTCCTTGGCTCCAGGTGCTTGGTTTTTCTAAGCAGTAGCTCATTTAACTAATGCCTGGAGGTCCCAAATGTCAAATCCAAAATGAGTTGTAATAGATGAGTCTGAGATGCTTGCTGCAGGGGTTTATTGTTGTAGGTTGCCCTGTGATATGTTTACAACCAGAGTAATGCTGCTCACTTGCCTAGAGTTCAGCAGCGGGTATAAAACCATCCAGGGAGACACAGGTTTTCAAAATTGGCAATGCCAAAGGAATGCTGCTAAAGCAAGACAGTCAGAACATTGTGACGCTGAGGTCACGTGAAAAGGAGCTGGTGGTAGTCATTGATCACTGGTGTGCCATATGTGATATTGCAGGAACTTTGGACAGCCAGGAAGAATTGCCCCAATGTCACGGGAGATGCTGTTTGATCTGCTGATATGTATTTTCGTTATGGTACCAAGAAAACCATCTCTTCCCTTTAACAATGCGTGTTCTGGAACACACATTTGTCACAAGCCACAGCCTAGTTATAATTCAAAATTTTTTTCCCACTACACAGTGTACCCATCCTAGTTAGTCATGGGGTGATGAAAGAACCTACATTCTTTGGGCTTTTTTAAACCCTTTGACACATCTCCCATCACCTAGTACCACTGTCTGTAGTATTGTCTGCCTGTTCAGAATGTAAGTTTGTTGGGATGGGAATTATGTATTGAGTAGTGCAGAGTACTCCCATAGTCAAATAGCAAATATGTAACACTTCAGTAAGCGGTTCCCTCGTTGGAATGCGGACATGCTACTCTAATGCCCTGGCATCCGTGCTTCTGATTCTTCCATGTTGTAATAGCTTATCCTGCCATAAGCCATAAATCACAGCCAGGAATTTCACTGTGAAAAATACTTTTCAGTCATCCTGCAGCATCTATATTCCAACACTTACTAGTATATAAAACTTCTGGTCATACCATGAGTAAAGGATGGATGTGTTTGACATCAAGAACCTGAAAATGCAATTGACTTCACTGATTTTCATTGACCAACTTCATAGGGCTGTAAAAAGAGCAAAGATAATGACAGGCAAAGTGGATTTTAAAATTTTTCACTTTCTAATCTAGCATTGTTGGTAAATGTGTTTTGGGAACAAACATTCCTTCACAACTTTTAAAGTTGACTGTCCCTTTTAAGGTTCAGCTATTTAAATAAGTTGAAATTCTCTGGATGTTTTTCTGTAGTTAGCAGTGCCTAGGTGAGAATTGAAATGCAGGACAATGTAGCACTTTAAAGACTAACAAGATGGTTTATTAGATGATTATCTAATTTATCATCTAATAAACCATCTTGTTAGTCTTTAAAGTGCTACATTGTCCTGCATTTTGCTTCAGCTATCCCAGACTAACACGGCTACATTTCTATCACTATTCTAGGTGAGAATTGTCTCTCTTAAATCTTTACAGATTTACTAAGCACTTGATACTAACCGAGCTATCTGTATCCTAGCTCTCATAGAGAGATCTGAGATATACCTTGTGATTGCTGGGTCTGTGAAGTGCAATATTAAAGCAAGCCATGAAGTATTTAAGCTCAGCGTGTAGAGGATCATGCTGGGTTATAACTCAGAGGCACAGCTGACTTTCATCTCTGCTTAAAATGCTGTAGTGCTATTGCTATAGCACTTCAATGAAGATGCTGACACAAGGAGTGTAACAGTCTGTGTTGATATGGTCATGACTTGTACAAAATTTATCATGATCTGTACAGGTAGGCCTTCTCAAATATCATTTGAAAACTGATAATCTGCTGAACATTATTATCCCCCATTGAAATGTGTATCAGTGATAGGACTGTCAAGCGATTAAAACATTAAATCGTGATTAATCACCCGTGCCTCCCCTTTGAAACACGGTGGTGGCATTTCAATGGGTCAGTGCTGCATAGTGCCTGGGATCAGCTGGAGTCTCCAGCAGACCTCAGGCTCCATGCATCTCTGCCCCTTGGAAATGCTGCTGCGGCGTTTCCAAGGGGCAACGCATTAGGAACCTGGCATCAGCTGAGACCTCCAGCTGATCCCAGGCTCTATGCAGCACTGCCCCATTGAAATGCCGCCAAGGTGTTTCAAAGGGGAGGCACATGTGATTAATCGCGATTAAATGATTTAATCGCTGGAGTGGCACTTCAAAAGGGACAGCACAGTATTAATGCCTGCAATTAATGCGTTAATCCTGTCCTGCGTTAATCACAGGCGTTAACACAGGTCATTTGACAGTCTTAATTAATAGTATGTGAAGTTGAGTTTCTACTGTATGATTTGAGTCTGGGTAACACTCAAAACAATTTTTCAGAGATAAAGACATACTGGCATCCCCAGACAGGGATGAGTATAGTAAAGGCATAAAGGGAAACAAGAAGCCATTCTATAAATATATTAGAAGCAAGAGGAAGACCAAGGTCAGGACAGGCCCACTGCTCAGTGAGGAGGGAGAAAAAGTAACAGGAAACTTGGAAATGGCAGAGATGCTTAATGACTTTTGTCTCAGTCTTCACCAAGAAGTCTGATGATGAAGGAATGCCTAACACAGTGAATGCTAGTGGGAAGGCGGTAAGTTTAGAAGATAAAATAAAAAAAGGACAAGTTAAAAATCATGTAGAAAAGTTAAATGTCTTCAACTCACCAGGGCCTGATGAAATGCATCCTAGAATACTCAGAGCTGATAGAGGAGGTATCTGAGCCTTTAGCTATCATCTTTGGAAAATCATGGAAGACATTCTGGAGAGCTTCCAGAAGACTGGAAAAGGGCAACTCTAGTGCCAATCTATAAAAAGGGGAAAAAGAACAACCCTGGAAACTACAGACCAGTCAGTTTAACTTCTGTGCCAGGAAAGATAATGGAGCAAGTGATTAAGGAAATCATCTGCAAATA